AATGTCATTTTATTTATTTCATAAATAAATAAAAAACCAACTCCAAACCCTTTTTTTTGGGTTCAAAGATATTCACAACAGAATCCAAATACAAAAGTCACATACATAAAACAATAAAGGAAAGAAAAATACAAAAAAGTCATAGGGGCATATTAAACATTCTATTAAATCAAGTAAATTTTAATTTTTTACTTAGGAACACCATTTTAATTCTTCATCAACTATACTCTTCAAACACAAAAATAGGTATAAAGATGAACTCCATAATTGTAGAAATGAAATAAAAATAAATAAATCTAGAAAATAGATGAGCTTTTATGTAAGAAATTGTTCATAATTAGAAACAAGAGCATAAATTGGAAATTGATTGGGGGCCTTAATAAAAGCAGAGAACATAAATTGGTTTTGGGGGATTTTTAAGAAAGTCAGTATGTATATCACTACATGTGCATGTGAATGTACAAATCTTATGGGGTCCCCTCCAATCATATATGTAGCTCCTCGGTTATATCCTGATATTTTGCCTCTTCTTTTTCATGTTTGCACATTTGAAAGAACTGATTACATGAAACTTATATTTTTTCTCATTTTAATCTAGTTTCCTCTAGACATTATGGTTTTACCCTACATAACGTGGGCACTACTATTGTGACGCCATGTCATCTTGAAAACGTGTGATTCACGTGTGCCGTGTTGTATTTTTTTGGGAATTTGCTGCATGTTGGTATGTTGTGTCCATTTTGGTGCATCTGTGTCCCATATGACACAGGTTACCTATTGCACTATAATTTTTTTTAGTGATACAATATAGATTTGAAGTTTTTAAATGGATTTCTTTTGATCATCTTGGTACTTTTCAAACTAATCATCTGCATAGATTACCACTAATGTTGTAGGAATTTACAAGGTTTATTTACATGAAAAAAAATTCTACACAAGAGTTCAGAATGTTCGGAGTTTATTTTCCTACTGAAACTTTTTAGTCACAGAAGAAGGATTGAAGTTGCCCTCTTTTCCTGTTAGGAAGTCTGGGGAATGCGTTCTATGTTGTTTGAGATTTAGCCCTTGGATGTATCTCATCTTTTTATGGTGCTAGAAATTTTCAAAGCCTTAGCGAGAACATTAGCCTGAAATAACATCTCTTGCAAATCATGACTGAATGTTTATCTCCCAAACTTGTCATTTCAATTTTTTTTTAAATTTTCCTGCAATCCTTTTTGTTAATAATCTGATTAGAAAAGTTAATTTTCGCTGCAGTGAATAGGAACCTTGTGGGTGGTAGTAGCTACTTGTCTACAGACCAGAAGAAGAAGCTGCTCTGGGGTAATAAAAAGCACACTTCTGCTGAAGAGGTAAGTTTACGCATTTCACTGCTATCACATCATGAGTTTGCTTTTAATTCAATTCTCAAACTGTAAGGCGAATATGCTTCATAAATTATATGATCATCATCATGTCCCTTACAATGCTGTCTTCTCATCTTCGTTTTTTAATGGCAATAGTCGGGCAATCGCTAGGAATTACAGCTATTTGTAGACCGAGAGCGGCAAGAGAAATTCAACAAACTGATGGTAAATTTCAGTTGCTTTTTTAACATTTCACGTCAATTGATCAAAAGAGTAGAGCAAAAGAAATGAAACTCAATTGAAAGTATACTATTCCTTCTTGTTCTTGTGAAATACAAATTTGTCACTACAATCTCAATGTCTCAACCCTTTATTAACACTTCAGAGTCTGAGGTTGCCTTGGTACCTATGGCCAATTGTAGGGTATGAAAGGCGAAGTTGTTCAAGAGCGCAAACCCGATGAGATGGATGCCGAGAAGATGCGGAAGTTCGAGATGGACTTGGAGAAGCAATACACTGCTGGTCTCCGACGAACCGTCGGCCTCGGCCTCTAGATGTAATGATCATAACAACCTTACTCTCTCCTCCTTTGTCTTACGAAGATGAACGTTACAAGCACTCTGTTTTATTTGTGTGGGCAAATATCTCTGTACTATATCCTGATGAAAAACATGCTGAGTTCTGGTCCACTATTACCATCCGGATTGAGCATGTAGAATGTCTCTGAATCTTTACTGTTGATCACCCTATCAAAGTGGGCCCGCATGTAGGTGAGCTCACCGTCATTCGGGTCCGTCATATCGGCAGGGAGTACTCCGGCGCCCATTGAAACTGCATGAAGCATTTGCATGATTTTGAGGTCGATACTACTAGCTTCCCTCTTGCTCGCGTATCCAATCTTTTTCCCGTTAGCAAAGGCGGTCCATAACGGTTCATCTATGAGCTTGCTCTTATCAGGCTTCTTCTCACACTCCAGGGCTATTCTCAACAGCCCGGAGCCCATGTCCTGCATAAACGTAGCGGTAGGGATACCGAGCTCGAGGATAAGGACGGGGACGCTCCTGGGGTTTTCTTGGACGGCGACGGTGATCCGGGCCTTGCGGTGGCCATAGAGGTAGAGGTGGCGGTCATCGGCGGGCCCCGTGGATTGTCGGCCCCGTCGCTCCCGCTCCCGCTCAATCCGGGGACGTTCCGTTGAAACTGCACGCCGGGGTGGTGAAGATTGGGGCAGGAGCGGAGGACGGAGCGGTACACACCCGCATCACCTTCGTCTTCTGCCCGTGTTTCTTCCTTGGAGGCCTCGAGGGTGACCGGCGGGATCCGGGGAGGTCTCGGGGATCCCGCTTCGGTTGCGGACGATAGGGTTAGGTTTGGTTCCGTCGTCGTCGCCAAATGTTGTGGCGCGCGACACGTAGGCGCTGGCGGCTGGAGGCTGTTTCATGTTATATACGGTTAGGGTTAATTAGTTTGAGAACACCTGCATACAATTGGACAATCACGTTGGTAGAGGGTTAGTCTGAGAATCTTAAGGGGAGGACGGAACGGAGAATGTTACGTTGTTAGGGGGCAAGAGGGGGTGGTTTTTGAAGAGGGGAGAGGGGAGTTGTGGCTTGCACGTTGGTTTCAGGTGTTCTTTTGTTTTTAAAGCTTTTGATTTGCTTTGCTCGCAAATTTCGTCGTTGTTAGAGGAGTGTGAGAAGCTTTGGTTTTTTTTTTTCAGTTTTAGTTTTGGTAATGGATTAGGTTGAATTAGTTTTCTAAATTTGGGGTTTTAAGGTTTGTGAGGAAACGGTCAACGGCGCGTGTTCAGCCTGTTTTAATTAAGGTAATATACCTGGTTGGTTTATGTTTATGCCTAATTCTGGGAAGGAGATTATCGGCCCCAGTTTGGTCTGGTAATGGGAGGCACGTTAGTGGGACGTATGTTTTTCGTATTTTTAAAGTGTTTGACTTCTTGATGTCAACCCTTGTTCTGTAGGACTATTTCGTCAACTCTTCCGAAAGTCAAAAACTTTGTGGGAATTACAAGGGTCCGCTTGAAGCAAGAAATGCTTAGCGAAAGCATGATTGATTCTTGTTCGTTGAGGGTACTAGCAAACTTCTTTTATCATTAACTAATGTGCGAGTGATTCGTACTCTTCGAGAAGGAAATAAGTGTGCATGTTGGATGGTTACTAGAGCAATTCATTCATGAGGAAAGAGGCTTGTGCTTTAAGGATGTTGCCTCCCATGAATTAGCTTGGTTTATTCATCAGGATGCTAGTGGTAGGAATTTTGTAAGAGGGTAGTAGTTGTTGACTGCATGTAACCAGCCAAA